TAAAAATCATTTTATAAACCCCTACCTATAAATTTCGCTCCTGCGGTCATAATTTCTGTCAGATGTAAGTTGATTTAAATCTGGATATGAATGAGTGTGTGTGCTTCGTTCTACTATTTCCGGTGCTACGTATTCTATTCCTATTTTATTATCTTTGAGGTGTATCTTCCTCGAATCATTTGCAGTTAATCGGCTATAACAAAAATTTGTAAGTTTGGCCTTATGATCATTTGTGATCAAAATGTTTTCAGATTTGATATTTCGATGTAAAATGTTCACGGCACTTAAAAATACCAATCCATTACATATGTCAAATGCAAAATTTTTCTTAACCGAAACGTTTAAAGATTTGCATTGATTATAATATGTTTTTAAATTTCCATGTTTTGACCATTCTGAATATATACTTATTGATCCTGATTCGTCCTTCGTAATTCCATAAAATTTTGATATGTTTGCTAAACCATTTAAATCTTTTAAAAGTGCAATTTGAATACGCAACATTTTCATTTCATGCGAATCAGACGAAAAGTTATATTTTTCGTGCCTGATATCATCATTTTCAAGTTCATTTAAAAACTTTATCGGAATAAGAAAATCGTTAATAGCACTATTCTGAATATCAATAATTTTCTGGTCAATAAGATCAAACATGGTGTTGTTATCGTCCTTAAAATTACATTGAAACGTTTGGATAAACTAGAAAAAAATTTATAATTAATAATTTTAATACAATTTAATCCTGAAATTTATAATTCTAGATCAAAAATACCTTCTCTGTTTCTTTAATATCATTAAGTACATCAACTTGTTCATTTATTTGAGATTTAAACCCAAGAGACGACATTGTATCATTAAATTCTTCTAATAACGCATCATATTTATCTTTTAGTTGTTTTAATGAAATACCATGATCAGTTTTTTGAACATAAGGTCTTAATTCATTGATTTGAGAAACTTTACAAATAAAATCTTTGATATTCGTAATATTTTGCAAAAGCTTTTGAAAGAAAATATAATTCTTTAATGTTGCAAATGAATCAATGTTATTCCTTAGCTTAAGTTTCTTTACATTGTAACTAATCTCCATAATACATTCTCTTAATGATTCGAATATTTTTGTATTAAGTTGCACGTTACAAAACGACAACAAATTATTTTCAAGTTGACAAACTTCTTCGAATAATGGTGTGAACGTTTCCAAAGTGATAGATTGTTCTATATCTGATGTTGTATGTTTGAATATTTGCATGTTTTTTGTGAAGTTTTCATCTTGTATTTTAATATCATCGATGTCTTCTACAATGATTATAGGCAATTTCGGATTATATTGTATCTCTAAAGCGAATTAAATAAGAATAAATTAGAAAGGAGATTTATTGTTTTTTTTTTTTTTTCGCTTTGATGCTCAAGTCATTACAGACCTATCGGTAAGATGTTATAAGTCTTTTTTCTCATTATATAAATTCTGTCAGCTCTCGGTTCTGGTCTAAGATTATTCAAATCATTCAAGATTTTAGAAATTTCGGGTCTAATTGAAGGATCCGGGACCCAGCAACTTTCATATATTTTTATATAATCCAAAGGCATTCCTATTTCTGGCTTTTCTCTTAGGCCTTTCCAAAGACTATAAAATAATTCATTATCACGTCTACCATTAAATGGTGGGCGACAAGTATAGATTTCCCACATAAGGACGCCAAAACTATAAATATCAGAAGATTTTTCGTTTATATGATTAAAATTTTGGCCTTTGTCTAATAATATTGGGTCGACATAAGCTTGTACACCTCGGACTTCTGATATATGCCCGCGATTTGATTCTAAAAGGGATTTTGAGAGTCCAAAATCTGCTATAAGAGGTCTCTCGTTATGCATTAAAACATTCTTGGAATGCTATAAATTAATAAATCACGAAAGATGTTAGACTCAAAAATAAAGTCATCATTAGCAAATTATGTTCAATCGAAAAAAATTCAAAATTTGCATTAATTTAAAATTTATTGACGTAATAAAAGTAAAATAGTAATTAATAAAGCTTACTAAGTCTCTGTGGATTATTTTCTGATCATGTAAAAATTTCAATCCTTTGAGAATAGCCTTATTTAAAAAAATTTTATCTTTTAGGCTCAGAACATTTTTGCGGTTACAAAGATACTCCTTTAAAGTGCCATTATTAGCAAATTGCATAACCAAAATATATTTTCCCAATGTAGGATCTATTATGCATTAATTTAAATACGTAAAAAGTAATAAAGTTAGATACATGATACGTAATAACAATACTGCAATATGGAACATAACTATTAGAGGTGCAGGTTATAAATTAAGCCTGCACTTCCAATAATTGTGATCGGATCACGTTATATGATCATGTGATGCCTTTTGGAAATTTAATGAAAGTGATCAGCAATCATTGTTGAAAATCCTTTTATGAACTTTAACACCAATAGTTACATAAGAACATACCATGGCCATGTGTTTGCACACTATGATAGCCAACTCACCAAAAATTTTCAGTAACGTGATAATTAGCTAGTAGTGGATTATGATGTAACCCGATCATGAAGATTCAAAACAAACAACTGTGTTGCTAATTTTTCCAAATTTCGCATAATATATCCGAATTTTTTGATGGTCATATTACCGAAAAATTTTGGTGTTCTCAATGATCCGATAACTACCATTCAGCTATTAAGAATTAGATTACCTTGAGCTAATCCGAAGAATTGGATGATATATTTTTTACAATTCTTAGACTTTTTCAAGGAAGCCACCTAAAATGTAATTAGATAGACGTATTAGCTTATTTACTACTCACTTCTATTTATGGTGTATGAGTCTAGACAATCTTTTTTTTGCGGTTTGCAAAGAGGTGTGACCTCTGCAAATCGTGAAATCGGCAGTATTTTTATCCGAATAAATAATTTAATTTTAACACACCTCGCGGTCAAAGTCTCTTGATTGTATAGGATTTTCACGACTAACGTATTTCACTGCTACAAATTTCTCTTTCCATTGTGCCTTGAAAACGTCGCTAAAGCCTCCGTTTGCCACAAACCTTAATATTTTTAAATCACGATAGTCAACATCGCATACAGGCGCAGTTTCACAATAGTTGTTATCATGAACAGATAAGTGCATTGTTGATTTTATATGAACTGAATTATGGCTCTTTTCTTCTAAATTATCATTAATTTGTTTTTTATCAGATGAATTGCCTTCTGACAGTACTGATAATAACAAATTATCTAATACATCACTTATTTCTAGTAAAGAATGATCTAGGACATCGCTATCAAATTTTCTTGGATTGTCCTCTGATAAAGAATTATCCACCATATCGTTTTTTTCTAATAAAGTATTATTAAATTCATTACTTTTTTTAAATAAAATTTCGTTCAGAATATTTAGTCTTTTTAAATTATGACAATAGATATACGTGAATATAATCGATATACATATGTATGTATGTATATGTTCGTAATATATAAATAAAAAAAAAGAAAGAAAAAGACATTTAATTAATTTGCTATTCATACTGCTCCAAGAAATAACAAAACTTCTTTAAATGCACAGACTTTGACTACGGTAAGAAAAAAGCAAAGTGTGCATTTAAAGAAGGTTGCATTCAAAGAGAACAAAATACGTATGTAGAATTCGAGAAAAAATACAGCAGGTATGTATTTATATTGATATTTTTATTATATATTTATTAAACGGATTTTTCTTAGGTAACCGCAAATCCATAAATATACGCGTTTTATGACACAAAAAATTGTCACATTTAATCGGTAACACGAATTGAATGACGAACACAAAAAATACCATTTAATTTGGTCAACGATTTACGACTCTACTACGGGCTTTGTTTAATTACGCGTACAGTGTAACTGCGCACATGGAAAACGGAAAGACCATACAGAAAGACTATTGAGAAAGCCATTGCCATGGAAATTTCCAAGTAAATAAATGAAACTATATTCCTTTATTATAATAACGCCTTCTCTCTTTCTCTCGCTTTATTTTTATAATATCATTATAGTTTTATTGTTTAAGATATTTAATGGAATTAGGTAAGTACTACTATTCCCTGGAGCTGCGAAAACAATGAAATTAAGCTACCAGAGAGATTATTTTATCAGATAGGCGCTGCGTAAAAATTTGTTATTTGATCAAGGATTTAAAATTCCTTTGGAATTCAACTGTACAATGAGAGTATGCCGAATAAATTTATTATTTGGCAGCTATGTAGTCTTGGCAAAATCCTAATAGGATGCCGGATAAATTTCATTTGTTTCCCGACATGAAATAAATGTCATTACAGCTGTTTTAAAAATTTGTGGGACACGTGATAACATTCTGTTTATTTTTTTGGAGCGAGTTAGTCGACCGAAAAAGTGTAGGTCCCGTGATCTCTGAGTGATCTGCTCATAAAAAGTGTATTATTTTAATGAGTCTTCACGACGGATTTCAATTTTATCATGATTCCACCTAATGTTTTGCCATGTACTGTACTATACGTACTGTACTGTACGTACTGTACGTACTGTACGCTAAAATTTTGACAGTCATTTTATAAGCTCTGAAGTTTAGGCCATAAAACTTATAAGTTCCTAAATATTCCGAGACTATTACGGAATATTCCGAAATTACGGCATAAAAAAAATTTACTATACGTACTGTACGTACTGTACGAACTGTACGTACTGTACGCTAAAAAAATCAGAGTATCATATAAATGGCACATCACTAATTCCACCCTAACACATTAACTTCAAAAACGCAATTAATTTCGTAAATATAAATTAAATACTTTAACTTCAAAAATGCAATTCATTCAAAAATTAAATACTTAAACTTCAAAAATGCAATTAATTTTGAAATATAAATACTTTAACTTTAAAATGCAATTAATCTCTAATGAATTGATACAATTTTTGTGCTAATTATAATTATTCATACTTCTAATGATTAATTTGGCGTAATTTGAAATACAACTAATGTCTAATGAATTAATATAATTAATTTCGCGTTAATAATTTTGAAATCCATCCATAAACATGTCAATGAAAAATATATATATATAATAATTATTTTTTAGTAAATTTATTTCTAATAAGTTAAAATTTTTATAAAAAATCATCTTATTTTTTATAACTATTTATCACGTGATTTGCAATGTCCCTAAGAATTGTCCATAGATTCTCTGCAAATTTTGCACAAGCCTCTAGTATGGGGAGAGTCTCCGGACACCTACCAACACGTAATTTTTGCACCTACCAAATATAAATCAACCAACATAAAACTCTAACCCTAACGCTAACTAGGTAGGTGCAAAATCGGTAGATGCCCGGGACTTTCCCCTCTGCAAAACTTTCATTTTTGATACATCTGTACCTACTGTTACGGGGTGAATTGTAGGGTTTTATTAATTTATATACAATTCGCTATAATTTATGTGATAAGGCAACTCGCCAGAGGCGTGACGTTGGTGATTTGACAATGATTTGTTTTATTAAAAGATTTTATCCGGGTATTGTATTAAAGGTATTATGATTGAATTATTGGAATCCCGTAGGATATCCTTTTACTAACGCGACCTCTCAGTGCTTTTATAGCTTATTCTATGCTAATGAACTCAAGGGGCTTAGGTGGCATACACAATTTACATTAAACTATTATTGTATTGTATATTGTATTATATAAAAATAGGGAATGCCATATAGTATTATGTTTGTATTATCTTTAAGATCCCTATGACAATACTGGCTTAACGTAAATTGTGTATGCCACCTTAGGGAAGATTTATCTAATACATCATTAAAAAAATCAGGGCGAAGCTATTATACATCAAGGGGCTTATAATAATTATCATTATTATTTCTTCTACCGAAGTCTTCTCTTTATTTATCTTCACGATCTTCTTGCTTGATCTTCATTTGTTCTTTGCGGAATTCTTCTTCGGATTTCACGTTGGTTATTATTCCTATTATTCGGCAGGTAAGCCTCAAGTACTAGTCGATCTGGAATTCTTATGGTAAATCCTCTTTAGTCAGGTGTTTACTGCGCCCGATTTGTAGATCTACTTTTAGCCTGTAACATTCGCCCAGACCTATTTTATGCCTACCAGGCATAAATATCTAATTTTAACACCTAAAATATACTATATAATTAAATAAGTAATAATAATAATATAATAAACAAAAAAATTCTCATTCTGATATATCATTCCCTTGAAGGGCCATCACGTATCCTATATGAGATTAGTACTCTAGGAAGGATAGCTACCCTCAACTGGTCTTGAACCTGGGTTACTCTGCTGTCAGAGTGATATTCTAACCAGTAGTTCACATCAAAATGATTACCAAATTTTGAAAATTGACTCCTTAAAAAGATTATTTGTATATCTTGATTATCCAATCATAAATTTTCTTTTCTTGTGACTTAAACTTTAAATTAATTGTTCAATTATCATCATAAAGAAATTTTTGATCTATTAACAATTTTTAAACTAAAAAAAATCCTTTTCAGAAAAATTAGTAGCAATATGCCTTGTATACAGAAAGGAAATTCAAACAGATATCCTAAGCAACAAAAGTAAGAACTATATTTTAAATTGAATTAAGAATTTAACTAATAAAATTTTTTATAATAGTAAGAAGGTAGACAAGAGAAAACAAAGAGAAGTTGTTGAGGAGGTTAATGATGGATTAGAGAACTAGTAATAGTAAATTTTTAATCTATAGATATATTAGATTGTTAAATTAAAATTAAATTTGTAATATAGGGTAGAAAAGTATATTAGAAAATTAGAAGGGGAAAATGAAATTTTACAAGAGAAGTTGAAGAAAGAAAAAGCAGATAGAAGTTTAAATGAAATTTTGACAGAAGGGACATTGAAAGCAGCAGATAGAAGATATAGGGAGTTGAGTGCAGCAAAGGAATCAATTGAGTTAGGGTATAATATATTAAAGAGCGATATGTATAAGTTGTTGAGTATAATAGACATTAGAGCAGAGACGAATAAAGATCAACAGAGAATACGAATCAAATATGACTTAGAGGAATTTGAGGAAGAAAAGGAATAAGAAAAGGAAACTGAAAATAAAGAAGATCTTGAAAAATCTATGAAAGTTTGGAAAGAAGAAGAAGAAGAGTCTCGAAAGATTTATAAAGCTTTGTTGGAGAGGGAATCAGAAAGTAGTAGAGAAGAATCTGAAGATGATAATGAAAATATTGGTAGTAGTTTGGGAATGTTGTTAGATTAGTTTGGTGAAAAAAAATTTTAATAAATTTCTTTTATATTTTTCTTTGTCTTGCTAGTATATAACTTTATCTGCTACTAATTTTACTTTTAAAGTACTTCTTCTAGATCTCATTCATTAATCATATTTAAAACCTAAACTTCTACTATCAATTTATAGTCTTAAAATCTTGTTAGTACTTAATAATGTTGCAAAAATTATATTCAAAAATAATCTTAATATATTACTTTCTCACTTTATATAATTCTTTCAGAATTATATCTTACAATTAAATCAAATATAATTTAAATATTCTTAAACTATTTATCATAACTATAAAAAAAATCTTAACAATTATATACTTTAGTAATATATATATTTATTTCTATTAGTTGTAAATCATTTTACTTATATATATTTTTGTTTAATTTAATTAATCCTAATAAATATTAACTTATCTTTATAATTCGACTAAGTTATAATCAATTCAAGTGCAATGGTATTAGTTTGATTCATGTGACTTTGCTCAATTTTGTTGAATCCTTTTTACTCAACTTTTTCACATCATGTAAGTCAAAAATGATAATAAAACAACTCCTAATTTAACTTTTGTTGTACTATTTCATTGTACTAGATACCTATTTTATTCTCATCATAATATTTTTTTTTTTTTTTTTTTTTTTTTTTTTTTACCCCAACTTCTTTAACCATAGGTCATTTTTGTAGATCCAGACCTATACATTATTTATCTAATTCAATGTAGCTATTTAGAATTCCAGATGCAAAATTAGGCAGTAACCCAAATTAACTCTTTACTGTTAGTTTATCAACAATTTGATAATTATTAAACAGTTTTTGTCTTTTTTGACAATTTTGATATCAAGACTCCTAAGCCATAATTATTGATAGCTGATAAAATCTTTTGTTCCAATAGAACTTCTAGGTGACATAAGGCAAGACTCTATAAATATCACTTCCAATTACATTTATTTATCCTTTTAGTTATTTCTAGAAATCAGATATAAGATTGTAGATGCCTTCATCTTGCCAAGTATCACCTCAAGTTTGAATTAGAAAAAAAAATTTCTTAAGAGT